TGGGGTGGTGTTTTTTTTTTTGGTGGTGGGGGGGGGGGGGGGGGGAGATAGTGTATTAGGCTCCATTCACATCTGCAAGTTTAGGTGCACTTAGGGATTCCTGCATCAGGAACTTGCGTTTTCTTGCAGCAGGTATCTCTAATGTAGCGTTTACAAGCGGCGACTGTCACCCATTTTAATGATCATGTGCTGCATGTTAACACCTGCACATCGCATGTAATATGTGATATGATTTCATGTGGTTGATTACATGCAGCTGCTGTCACCTGATCATTAAATTGAATGGGTGACAGCTGTTGCTTGTAAACACCAGATTAGGGATTCCTGCTGCAGGAAAGTGCAAGTTCCTGATACAGGAGTCTCCAATCACACCTAAACTTACAGATATGAATGGGGCCTTATTGCGAGTATATTATTGTCCGCAGCACCATACCGGATATTGCTAAATTTTATTTTGAAGTATGAAATTTGGCAAGCGGCCCCCATGGGAGAAAAAAAATTATTGAGTGGCCCCCGGGAAAATCGAGTTCGATACCCTTTCTTTTAAATTATCCAAATAGGGAATTAAATTACCCTCGGACATCCTCAATCTAATGTACTGGAGTTGGGCTTTAAGACTAGATAAACAGCTAGGCTAGTAGAATCTAATACATTTACAAAAAGCAATTTTTCAGTGAAACACAAGCCAAACATTTTCAGTTTTGGGTAGAATGGGGCTTCTAATGGACATCCGATACCTAGGAGTGCCTAATATTAAGGCTAAGTGAAAGTTTGGCACATCACTTAAGCCCACCATTTGTTTTAAATGTTAATTTACCTTCTTGTGGTAAGATGCACTGTGCAATCACATCACGCAGTTTTTCCAAAGCAATATTGGAATCTTCACTTCCATTCTCTGCATCTTGGATATAAACATTTTCCTTAGGTTTTGTCCTGTAATGAAAAACATACCAAAACAATTATCTTATTCTGTTCATTTCATTGGGTTTTGAGGTTCAGAGCTGTGTCTTACTGAAAAAGACAAAATAAACTAAAAGTCCCTTTTGGCCAACCCCCAAATGAGGCAGGGTATAAAGGTGCCCACACACCTTGCGATAAATCGTATGATAATTGCGGGAAATCCCACGATCGTACGCGATTATCGCAAGGTGTGTGGAAGACGTGCGACCTCTCCTACTATAAGGTCGCACCACTTTTATCTTATGAACATATTCGAAAACTCGCCGAGAATAGTATGATTGTCGGTGGGTGTGTGGCATGTTCACAAGATAAAAGCCGCACGGGCCGGTGTGCGCAAGCGCACACTGCCCGTTTAGCATTGCGGTCATCGGAAGCCCGCCCCGCAGGCTTGTGATCATCGCAAGTATGATCTGCCTGTCCAAGATAGGCAGATCGAACGTTTTTTAAATTACCTTTCAACCATCGCAAGACAAAAGTCTTGCGATGATTGTAAGGTGTGTGCCCAGCCTAAGACATGTCTCCCCCGCTGAGTTCCTTAAAGTGTATTTCCACTTTTGCAGCCAAATTGGGATAACACCTGTGTAATATCTGTTACATGTTCCCATTTACATCACATAAGTTAAAAAATGCTTTTTGCAGTTTAAATTGCTTTTACTTGGGTTGGGTTTCTACTTGGCTTCTTAAGGGTTAGAATTTCTAATTGGTTTCTCCTAGTTTGTTTTGTTTGTTTTAGGAGGGGCTTATTTCATCATAATGCTGACCATACACCTATAGATTATTTGCAGATTTTCTATGGTCAGATGGAAAAAGTGCAACAGATTCCTCCATCTACTCTAAACTGTGTGGACGGAGGAAACTTTCGCTGGGCCAAGCTTCAGTATCTTGCTAGTCGGCCCCGCTGGTTCTTAATATACCTGAACAATGCCTGCATCCAATCAGATTGTTCAGGTATATTGAGAGCATCTGACCATAGAAAATCTGCAGATAATCTATAGGTCTATGGTCAGCTTTATTCATAAAGTAGTTTTGAACACTGCCTGTTCTAACAAAGGGTTAAAGGATTAAAATACTGGCTTCTGCACTGCATGCTAATGACGTTAATGAGAGAAACACAATCCATAAATTTAGTCCCAGGTCTTTCTATCAGAACATATCACTGACGGTGGATTCAGCCATTTTGCCTGCTGCCATAAAACATCCAAAAAGGTAAGGAGATATATTTTTGTATAAAGATAGAGGGGTTTTCTCAAATTCAACTGCAAAAGTGGAAATATACTTTATGTCTCAAAGAAAAGGGGTTTTTGCACTTTCTTGATATAAAACCCTTTAAAAAGAGCACTTGCCTTATGACACACCGAACAATAAAGGGTCACTGAAATTGCACCTTTAGAAAAGTCTTAGATGGAAAACAACATTTTTGGGTAGTATACTATGTGTGTATTTGTCCTTGGGTAGGTTTCTCATTGCAGTCTGTTCAATTTTAATTGCCTCCTTTTATGAGCAATTCCTGGTTGTTAATCAACCACACCAAGCACAGGAGCAGATCCATGCTTGCCTGGTCAATTTGCATCCCTGGGCTTACCTGCATGGAGGTACAGGATGCCGTGCCAATGCACAGAGTTGTCTGTTTACCTGACATGCCCCATGCCCAGCACTGACTTTTCATTGACAGTGGCACCCACGTGGAACCTTGCTGTCAAAATGCAAAACACTATATACAGACAGGGATTGTCCTTCCCCAATTGGAGTATGATGTAACAAACTGCCCTACTGCTTCAGAAACTACCCCTACTATCTAGAAGAGGACATGAAAGAAACATGTGTGGTCACATACTGACCAATAAAAGCTCAAAAAAGTTTAAAAACATGTGATTCTTTTTTTTTTAAAGTAAATGCTAAGCTGGTCATTAAATTATCTATACCCTTTGTGCATTCACTTATACTTTAAGAGTTTATGCACATCAGTTAGTTAAAGTTAATTTTCATCAGCAGCAAAACCGCCTAAAAATATACCTACTAGATTGTAAATCCCTAGAAACACCACCCAACAGAAAAGCGCTGGAAAAGTTCTGGCACCATAGTCACTTCTACAAGAATGCAGATGGTGGAACCTGTATATTAAGACTGGCCAGCACTTGTCAAAAAAGTGTGTTTAGCTTAGTAGATGCACACCACCAAACTCTTGGGTGTACAGCACTATTCCCACAACCCAAACATAGTGGATAAGGTGTTGCTCCAAACCCACTAAGCACACAAATGTGTGGTGGCACACTAGGGTCAATAAGGTTGGTTTATCTGTCTTTCGCTTTTTCTTCTCCTATTAAGATAACGAGATATGAGGGCATTCTAACAGAGGTTTCTTTCCAGACCACTCTAGCATATTGATAGGGATGGATAGTTTTGTTTGTTTCATTTACCCCAATAGCTTTCTCTTGCGCAGGATGGGATTATTGACAATGTTTAATGGTTTCAAGTTGACATTGAGGTCTTGTATTCTCATGTTGGCAAGCTGCTCTGCATGTGCTTGCTGTATCCCGGCAACCATTGCCTGCAATGGAAAATGGTACACAGTCTAATTAGTTCCTGTGAAACTTTAAGACTGAACATCCTCTCAAGTGATCACAACAGATGACTCTTTAATGTGATAATGTGCTGACAGAGATAATACACTGTAATGCCCTAATGTAAACAGCGCATGCCAGAATTTGCATCTCTGCTATCCACACCTGGGATAGAAGAAAGACACATTTGTCCTATGAGGGCAATTATTCCTTATGAGAGCCTTTGTCTGAAGTGTAACCTGAACAATCGACTTGAACAAATTATTAGGCAGTCATTTTCATTTCTGTGATAACAGCACTCCCATAAACATCTGTGTGATATTAGCAATTAAGGTTTCTTTCACAAAATTTGTATTCATTTTGAAAATACACAAAACATCGGCAAAATTCATACAAGCACCGACCGGCGCAGTGGCGACAATTAAGGTTTCTGAAAATTGTTTTACTGATACATATCAATACCATCAGTTTGAAATGTCTTCTATGTACATAAGGGAAGGTTAAAATCTCTTACAATGTTAACATTAAGGCAAAGCATAAAAGACATATACAACCTTATCCATCATCATCTGTGCAGATGGCAAAATATTATCCAGGGCTTCTGTGGAGTTTAGCCAAGGGTGGTCCAGAACACCTTCAATGGTGAGTCGTTCCTCAGGCTTAACTTTCAGCAGCCTACAGACAATACATATTTAAGTGAAGTTCAGTTTTTGCTAAAAATCAAAAGAATGCAGTATATACACATGCCAAGGATGTTTCTGTTCTTGAACAGTTAAAGTAGGGTACACATGCAGGACGGTACATTCGGCCAAAATTCCCTGTGTTGGTGACACTATGCCATTTGCAGCAGTTGATCCTTAGATTGACATCTACCAAAAGGAATATGTTGGAAAATGTTCAGCTGAACAGAGCTTGCAGCCAAATCAACTGCAAGCTCCGTTCAGGTATTCTGACAGCAGCCAGTGGCCGCTGTCAAAATACAAAGCTGAGCGGCTCTGTGATCTGTGCTTGGCCGAGTGGAGGATCTGTAAATATGTGTAATACTCTGTGTGCAGAACACACACTGGAGTAAACGTTGATCGCTCCAGTGTTTTTAAACAACTGGGGACACATAGTACTATGTGTCCCCAGTTATGAACAGGAAATGCTTTACATCACTTCCTGTTCATTCATGAGTTTCTGAATAAGTAGAAGCACTCAGTACAGAGAATTCTATCCATTCATAATATTTACCAGCTGCAGTTTGTGAATGATTGGGAAGCCTCTGTACTGAGTGTTCTCCATTCATTCAGTGCTGAGGCTGCAGAAAAAGCAATTCTGTTTAGACCCCTAACAATAAAAAATAAATAAAACACAACCAACCCCTCCCACCCCATATTATACATGAGCAACAGTGTGCACTATATTGTGGTGTATGCTATGCACATGCGCTGTGGTGCTTTGTTAGAATGCATTGCTGTGCTTGATTTATTTCTTTTTAAATAACATTTACTGTATGGCAGCACATGGCAAAGCATTGTAATATGCAGCGTTGCGATTAAATGTACGTCTATATCATTTACCACAACACACACACAAACATAGCGCGCAAACCGTTTTTAACATAAGTTGTTTATTTACAGTTTTGAGTTCCTTCATTTTTTTTTACCCTTTCGCAAAAGGCGCAATTTAATATTTACAAACATTTGTTATTTATTTATTAACTCAATACCGTTTTATCTTTAGATTTAGTCAGAAAAGTATTTTTTGTGTACTGATACTGATTTTAGTGTGCCTTTATCAAGCTGTGTATTTTTTCGGTTTAATATTGATTTAATAAACATTTGCAAAATTATCGCAGGACCTATAAAATTAGTAGCACTATTTTTTTTTATTCTATCAGGCTTTTGCTTTCAGGAAATATATGGTTTGGGGGGGGTTTTTACAAACTCTCAAAGCAATTGTCAAACTGAAAAAATGGTTACTTTATAATTAGGGATGCACCAATAATTGGGCCACCGAAATGCATTGGCTGAAAATTGCACTTTTGGCAAAATGCCAAAAGTGCCATATTTTGGTCGAAAAAGCGGTGCATCTGTGATTTCTCCCTTCCCCGCTGGGTGCTGCTCTGTGTCCAAGTGGGGAGGAGAGGAAATTGTCGTCACAGGAGGCCGAGCGGTGCAGGAGAAGAGAACGGAGTGGCCGGCGTCTCTCCTCCCCGCACAGCCTCCTGTCACAGATCAGGAGAGTGGCGGTGTAGGCGGAGACAGCTGTCAGATCGAGCTCTCCTCCCGAACCACTCGCTCAGCCTCGTGTGACAGCCGATCCAGGATGGAGAGCAAGTACAAACACTCAGTGATCAGCGATTGCTAAGTGTATGTAAACAATTGAGGACAGAGTATGGTTACAATATCTTCAATTATGAATTAATAGGAGTGATCTACATCACCTCCTGTTCATTCATGATTGAGGATATAGTAAACACACTACCGTATTTGCCGCCGTATAAGGCGACTGGGTGTATAAGACGACCCCCTACTTTTTGTGTTAAAATATAGGTTTTGAGCTATACTCGTCGTATAAGACGAGTATAGCCCAAAATAATGGTTTAAATGCAACCACTAACCTCCATGGCGGTATTCCCGAGTGTGGCTCGGGGTTAATTTTCAGTACCAGAAGCGGTAACCCCGAGCCACACTCGGGATTACAGTCTCTTACCTTGTCCACGATCCCCGCAGTGTCCGCCATCTTCTGGGTTCCGTCCTTCAGCTACATACAGTATAGGCTGAGCCTATCACGGCAGGCTTCGTATTCATTAAATACAGGCTTTGTATGAATGAATACAAAGCCTGGCGTGATTGGCTCAGCGCTGTATACTGTATGTAGCCGAAGCTACATAGAGTATACCCGGCATATAAAACAACCCCCGATTTTCGGGCGATGTTTTTGGGTCTAAAAACACGTCTTATTCCCCGCAAATACGGTATGTCCACAAGTTATGAATGAACAGGAACACTCAGTATAGAGAATTCCTGTTCATTTATAACAGGGGCTGCAGAAAAAGAGATAAAGGGCTCTGTGTCCTAAATCTCTTTTTCTATTTTAAAAAAGGGAAATATCAGGGGTCTGTTTAGACCCCTAATATTTCCCCAAAGCCCCTAAAAGTAAAGTAAAACATATTTAATAAAAATGAATACAATATTTTAAAAAATGAAAAAGTTGACAAAAAAAAAAAAAAATTGAAAAGTTAGAAAAAAAACATTTTCAGTTTCGGCCTGACATTTTTTTTCATTTCGGTTTTGAAATTTTCATTTCGGTGCACCTCTATTTAGAAAATGCAATAACTTACTTTCTGACAATGTCTTTTGCCATTTCAGAGATCTGGCTCCATTCCTCCTCTGGGAACTCAAAGCTTCCTGTCATAATCTTCTTCCTCATATCCTTAGGGATTGTCCGGCTGTGGTGTTTGGAGTAAAAAGGAGGGTAGCCGCACAGCATCACATAGATAATCACACCTAAGGACCATAAGTCACAGCTCTGGGAGAGACAGAGACAACCACAGAGTAAAAACATAAAACACGTAATAGTGATAGGTCCCTGTATGCACGCAATGCATACATGTGTTGGAGTTGTGATCAAATGTTTTTCCCACACTACCAGGAGGGAAAAATCCCGTAACACTACCTCTCAAAGAACACAGTTCTGACATTTTCTGTGTATCTTGGTGCTTGACTTAATATTGTGATAGCTCTATCTGTGAATGCAAGTAGCTTGGTGTAATTAATATTGAAATTGCAGAATGCCTGAAAAACAATGCTTCTATTTATGTTTTAATAAAATATGTACATGGGTTCTAGAATGCAAACAAAATTGACTGTTCAGCCTATACAGTCTAAACCAGATCTAAAACTCAAAAACGAAAATGTAATATATTGCAGTTTACCAATCCTTACATGTGGTAGCTGCATTAGTTTTCATTTTTAGGCTTTTTTTCCCTATTATTATCACCATCATCATTATGTGGCATCATCACCCTGTGGGGAGGGTAGTGTTAGATGCACTCACTGATTTTTAGATGGACTTGACTAACAAAAATAAAGCCAAAGTCTTGTTAACACTTTTTAGGCAGTTGCAGCAATATTTTTTTCCCTTTTGGGATAAAGGTTTTACTTATATAAAATCTGACCATTGTAAGCACCCCTGTCAGTGTTAAGTGGTTTATCTTAACCCTCCATCTGTCCTGTTTGTTGGACAGCATGGCCTGTTAAAGAAAGTTGAAAAAATAGACTTACTGGTCGGGCCACCAAGTGAAAATAAAGGGAAAAAAGCCCCAAAAAAGAAAACTGAAGTCACCATATTTAGAGACTGGTAAGGTGCAATATAGAAAAGGTTTGAAATGAAAGCTGTTGGGCAGACAATTCTTATGTACAGGACTTTTGCAGTACGGCCATCACAATAGAATAAAAGCTGGCTAATCCAGATGTTCTTGCAGCAGTAATTCAGAATGCACACAGAGCCAGTGACTTGTCATTGGTTCAAATCGGTTAATGGAATAATATCATGCAAAACTATGGCACACTAGAAACATTTCTGAAATATTCAATGGCTGCCACAAAGCACAGATCAGTTTTAAAAAGCATCAAAGACATTTACCTTGTTATATGTGTATGGTGTTGGGGAGGTAGGAATAATTCCTGACTTCTCTTTCTGGTGTCTTCTTTGTGCCTCTAGAACCTGACAGTTACAAAAGCAATGCATTAGTGCTTCAAGAAAAAAAAAAAAAAAAAAGTTCTAAAGTGCTAAAACTGTTTGTATATAAGGGCAACCAAAACCTCCCAAGTTTCTGTAAGAGGCATTTCACAATAAAAAGTACTACAGGGCTCCAAACTTCAATTACAGCCCCAAGCTGTCCGAATGACTAGAGATTTCCTTGTAATACAGAGCAGGCAGGTCCATTGATCAGAATTCTCACATTGAGAGGATGGGAAGGGATGTGTCCATCATGCAGCATGTGTAAACTGATCTCTCTGCTCTTCAAGGTTATATCAGGAGTATTGGCGGTTGTGTGAGCCTATCGAAAGCTGTCGCTCTTGCTTGGAACTCTGAACTCGCTGGCTCAAGGTATAAATATGAACTAACTAATGTGATCTTTCCAAGTTACCAATATGAAATACTACAACCCCAATTCCCAAAAAGTTGGGACGCTGTGTAAAATCTACATAAAAAACAGAATGCAATGATTTGCAAATCTCATAAACCCATATTTTATTCACAATAGAAAACATGTCAAATGTTTAAACTGAGAAAATGTACAATTGTAAGGAAAAAATAAGGGTAATTTTGAAATTGATGGCAGCAACACGTCTCAAAAAAGTTGGTACAGGGCCATGTTTACCATGGTGTAGCATCCCCTCTTCTTTTAAGGTCTGGGAACTAAGGAGACCAGTTGCTGGAGTTTTGGGAGAGGAATGTAGTCCCATTCTTGCCTGATATAGGATTCTAACTGCTCAACAGTCCTGGGTCTACTTTGTCGTATATTTTATCAAGATGCGCCAAATATTGTCAATTGGTGAAAGGTCTGGACTGTAGGCAGCCCAGTTAAGCAACCAGACTCTTCTACTACGAAGTCATTCTGTGGTCATAGATGCAGTGTGCGGTTTAGCATTGTGCTGCTGAAATAGGCAAGGCCTTCCCTGAAAAAGACATTGTCTGGATGAGAGCATATGCTGCTCTGAAACCTGGATACAGGTGAAACTCGAATAATTAGAATATCGTGCAAAAGTAATTGCAGTAAGTGCTGCAAAAGGGTCCCAAACCAAGTACCGAGTACATATGCATGCTTGTACTTTTCAGAGGTCCGATATTGTTCTATGTACAATCCTTGTTTTATTGATTGCATGTAATCTACTTTTTTGAGGTTGTGGATTTGGGGTTTTCATGAGCTGTAAGCCATAATCATCACAATTATGACAAATCACGGCTTGAATTATCTTGCTTTGCATGTAATGAGTCTATCTCGTATATTAGTTTCACCTTTTAAGTTGCATTAGTGAAATAAATGAACTTTGCACCATATTCTAATTATTCAAATTTCACCTGTTTATCTTTCAGCATTGATGGTGCCTTTCCAGATGTGCGAGCTGCCCATTCCATACACACTAATGCACCCCCATACCATCAGAGGTGCAGGCTTTTGATAACAAGCCAGGAGGTCCCTCTCCTTTTTAGTCAGGAGGACGTGGCACCCATGGTCATCAAAAAGAATGTCAAATTTTAAATTCGTCTGACCAGAGAACAGTTACAACAGACCATTTTAAATGAGCTTTGGCCCAGAGAAGACAGTGGTGATGTTCAGATATGGCTTCTTCTTTGCATGATAGAGCTTTAACTTACATTTTTGGATGGCATGGCAAATTGTTTTCACAGACACTATTGTGGAATATAACATGGGTGCAAAAATGGAAAAAAGGGCCTCAGTCATGAAGGGGTTAAAGCAGTGCTGTCTGAAGGGGCCAGAAAATCACAGGCATCCAATACTGATGCCCGTGCACACAGAGATTTCTCCAGATTCTCTCAATCTTTTGATATTACGTACTGTAGTACATAACTGATGATATATTTAAAGTCTGCAATTTTACATTGAGGAACATTATTCTGAAATTGTTAATTTTTAGACAAAGCATTTCAGATTGGTGAACCTCTGCTCTTTTTCACTTCTGAGACACTCTAAAAAGGTGGCCATACACTTTACAACCCTCGCAAGACTTTTGTCTTGCTAAGGTTGTAAATAATTTTTTTTTAAACGTTCGATCTGCCCATCTTGGACACGCAGATTGTACTTGCGATCATCACAAGCCCGCCCCACGCGTGCGCACACTGGCCCGTTCGGCATTTGTCTACCGAGCATGCCACAAACCAGCCGAAAATCCTACGATTTTCGAAAATGCTCCTTAGACAAAAAGACGTGCAAGCGTACAGTAGAAACGGTCGCATGCCTTCCATACACTTTGCGATTATCGTACGATCGCGGGATTTCCCGCAATTCTCGTACGATAATCGTGCAGTGTATGGGCACCTTAAGATGCCCTTTTTTGCCCAATCATGTTACTGACCTGTTGCCAATTAACCTAATTAGTTGCTAAATGTTCTTCCAGCTTTTGCCATTTAGTACCACTTGCATTGCCAGCTTTTTTTCTGCCCTTCCCAACTTTTTTGAGATGTGTTGCTGCCATCAATTTCAAAATGACCTAATTTTTTTCCTAAAATGGTACATGTTCTCAATTTAAAAACATTTGATTTGTTTTCTATTCCCTGACAGCGCGGACCAGTGCTGAAACCGTCTCACGTTCCTGGACCAGGAGCGTAGACGCAGCCTCATCCTCACTGGCAGAATCAGGATGTGAGGAATCAGATTTGGTTTCAGAATCAGATTAGATTTGGGTTTCTCTATCCTACTTTACTCAGTTTAATTACATTGCGTAAATGGAAATGAACTGGGACTTTGTGTAGGCTTATTTAATTCAGATCATAATACATCTATCTGAAGGGCTGTATTTAGAGATCGAGCTGCCCTATGAACACCAAAAATCATGACAATCTTTTGTACAAGCTATGCCCCAGGTGATATGCTAATTTCAGGGTTGGAAAAATCAATGCTAGAATGTTATTTTGGAGGCCCACAATCTTGCTGTATATGCAGAACTACTAAACCCAAAAGGCCACCAGAAATGAGAAAGGAGAGACTGTTTGTGCAGTTTGAACAAAGATTCTGCAGAATCCTCTCAACACCCCCTAGGGTGAACCCATTTTCAGCAAGATCAAACAATGAGAACCAGTTCGTACTGGAATTATGAAAGAATGTAAACATTAAGTCTTAAATTTTTATCATTGATAAGGGTCAGGTGCCTCCTCAGGTCTAAGAAAGCCATTTCCCATTCAAATGCCTGAACTCATTCCAATAAAATGTGCTGCTCCCAGGCAATAGCAACATCAAACACGCAGCTCTGTATTCATACATTCCCCTTTACTACAGTGCTCTATTATGTGATCCGGTTATGCAGGAGACAGCATATGTTATCAGCATGAGGTCAGGCAGTGGCACAGCAACAGACTCTTCAGGTGACCTCTCACCTCTAATGCAGGCCATGCACACAACACATTCTAACAGATTAATAGCAGTCATTTAGGAGTAGCTGAAGGAATAGCTCAACTTTGAAAGCTGTGCTCAAAAAAAGCAGGGAGAGGACAAAAGACTACTCACCAGTGTTGCCTGTTGTCTCCCTGCAGCTGATCTTGTCCCCATACCTGACTTACCATGGCTTGATCTGCCCTGTGCTCTGTGAGGAGGGGGCCATCTTGGTAAAAGCAGGGCTTCCTCATGTCATAGCCTCCAGTAAGGAGAAGAGTGAGCAGCATAGTAATGATCTCACCAAATCTCACTCCAAATCACTTGAGATATGCAGTCAGTGGCAGCAGTGCTGTAGATCCTACAGCTATAAGGGTGTGGGCATAAGAGTGCCTAGGCACACGCACATACCAGAAATTGTACTGATAATTTTCAGTAGCAATTCAAGATAAAAGGTACAGTATATTTCCCGGGTACAGCTTAGGCATAATTTGCACTTCTAGATGTTCCTTATAGCATAGTAAATCTTCACTACACGAGCTGAGGAACAGCATTCAAGCTAAATAATGCTCGAAAGGTCAATTAAATTTACCACATTGGCCAACTGACAATTTAGATAAAAGTGCAAAATAATGAGTCAGGTTCAGTCAGTCATAGCAATTAGCATTACATTTTCTTTGTCAATTTCATAGAGGCATTAATATTGGTAATGCATTGGTAAAATGTTGTGCATGTGCACCATAGTCTAAAGTCATTCTCAGAGTACATTAGGATACAATATACATTTTTCACAGGTAAACAATTATATTTATGCTCATTTAAGACTACATATTTAGATTCCTATAATCCCATTGTGACTGGCTCGTATTATTGAGCCAATTTCTAGTCCCGTGTTTCTAAATGCAAAATAAAAATTACCTGAGGAGCTACGTAGTAAGGGGTAAACTGTGGTGTCATTAGGTCTCCTTGGTCTATTTTTGCAAACCCAAAATCACACAATTTGACTGGAGCATCCTGAAACAAAAAATTGTGAAAGGACATGGATGCGATGTAAAGTGGTTAGTTTAATTCTTAACTTGGTAAGTGTAGAAACTTTAACAAACACATTAGAGAATTAGAAAGCAGGCTGCCAGTTGGAGCAGAAGATCATGCGGAGATGCAGAGCATGTGTTTGCAAACACACATTCCATAAATATAATCTAGAGCTGTAATTAGTGCAAGAAAACTGCCTACTGCATAAAAGGATTATAACAGTCTTACCAAGGAGTTATCCTTAAACAGCAAATTCTCTGGTTTCAGATCTCTGTGGGCAATGTTTAATGAGTGACAATGCTGTAGGGCCAAAGCAATCTGTAAAAAGAAAACACAAGTCAGCACAAGGAGTATTTCTCCCCTACAAGAAGAGCTGGGTTAACATATTAAAAGAAAATTATAGCGTATTTTCAGCAAATATACATTTCATACATTACTGATGAAGTGGAAATGCAGGCCTAAATTTACTGGAATGCTGGTACTTACACTTCAGTAATTCCTTTTAAGAAAAATAAAACCTGTAGAATGCATCCTATTTCTGCACATACACTGCCTGCATCTGTGTTTGGCCGGCTTCAGATGCCGCTTTAATGAGTTGGGAATGCCAAGTGACATAGTCCCAGGCATTCAGAGCTCCTCCTATGAGAAGCCTCTGCTCAGTTCCAGCTCACATTGCTCTGCTATTTCACAAAGGCAGGTAAAAAAAAAAGCACTTTATCTGTAGAGGTGGCTCATTGGAAGGGAACTTGATGCACTGCACATGGTCATGGTAGGATTTAACGCGTCAATATAGCTTGATGCACTGCACACGGTAATGGTAGCCTTTAACGTGCCTATATAGCTTGATGCACTGCACATGGTAGGAGTTAACCTGCCTCTTTTGATGGGACACCGGTTCAATAGCAAGCATCCCTCATCATGATGAGTGCGCATGGAGGCGCAAGAGTGGGAGGAATTTAGCACAGTGGAGTAAAAGGCAGAGAGAAGATTTGTTTGGTTAAGTTATATGTACACACAGAGTCAGATTGTGACCCTAACTATGGTCTCCTTGCCTGTAAATCAGCACTGTACTGAACAATTGCTGGTAGAAGGATGATAAAGATATTGGCTTCAATCCACCTGGGCCGACTGACTTTATAGCACTGCTATGCAGCATGGCCTGAATAAGTAATCAGCAAAAATAGCTACCCTTGTACATATATAATTAGAAGCAATACATTGAAGCAATATTTTTTTAAATTGTAGCACACAATACTAAGATTATTTGGATCCAGGTGATCACAGTCTATTTGAAACACTTTAAAAGTCTATAGATTTCCTTCAACCCACACTATGGAGATCTAAATGTTCCACACATCCTTGGGGCTCCACAAGCAATTGAACCAGAAGGAGTAGATAGTCTATTAGTGTATCCCATGGCTACAATGGACAATGTAACTAGTGACATATGTTAAGGCTTCCTAGAGAAGCATATAATAAAACGTATACAAACCCATTAGTTATAATTTTGTAAATCTGCATTAAAAAAAAAAAAAGAATTATATGGCTGGGCTTTCTTTAGACACCAATCAATATAAAAAGGTTTGACATGCTATATTTTGTGGACACTGGACTTAACCCAGGATAGGCTTGCAGTCCACTGCAGGCCAATAAAGCACAATACACATTTCTATTAAGCCCAGTAAAAGAGTACTCAAAGTGGCTGAAACAAAACAGTTATGCCAAGTAGTTGGTGCATAGCATATCCTCATTATAACAAAGCAGGCAATAAAGAGAAGTGAGAAGCTAGGTCCCTCTATTATGCCTTTAACCCTTAGTTGTTCATTGCAAGACTGCTGGTGGAAATTCTGGAACTTGCCTGCTTTGTTACTTGGCTGGCTTGCTTCTCAGTGAAGTGCCGGTGCTGGCTGATTCTGTGAAACAGCTCGCCCCCCTCCATCATCTCCATAACAAATAGGAGCCGTGCCCTGTTCAAAAGTGTTAATTTAAAGAGTGGGTCAATTATCAGTGAGTACGCAGTCAATGCTGATGCTGGTCAACAGAAGGAGCAACCTTGCCTTTTATTGGTTTTCCCCATTTGCTGCCGTGACAGAATGTGGTTTGATTTTGGTGAAGGTTGTGCCCCAGATTGACAGCACTGGCACTTCTCTTCCAGCAGTGTTAAAATCAATCTCCTGCGATTTTATCATATACTAACTTGCTTGGATGCAGGGTGCCACTAAAATTAGCCAGTTAAAGCTGAAAAGCTATAAAACACTGGAGGAAACTAAACCAAAAATTGTATGAGGCACAAGTGTGTGTGTGTGTTACAACTGTTGCAGAATTACCAGGAACCAATGACACCAAGTACATGGCCTAGTAATACTGCCAGCTGTTTGTAACCTGTGTTATCCAGCCAAAATGGCCACCTCATGCAGTAGGTAATGTGCCACTAATGATGGCCATACACTGTGACAATTGAGGCTGGTTCTTGATTAACCAGCCAAAATTTGCTCACTGGGTGGCCCTGTTGGCAGCCTTCCTTCTGGTATCCTTCAATCAGAAAATCGAAGGAGCCAGGTAAAATATTTTTGGTGGAACAACGAAAGCAGCCACTCGGCTGCCGTCACTGTTCTGTTATTTTGAGAGCAGCAAGCCCACAGCTGTCAGAGTACACTAGCCCAGCAGGAGATTCGTCCATCCACATTATTTAGCGTGCATGGAGGATTATATTAAATTTTTTCCGTTCAGCTCGAAGTTTGAACGAAGAAAACACAACAGTGTATGGCCAGCTTAACTGCTACATGAAGTAGACCCTCATTATTTAAGGCTCAATTCAGTACAATATAGTCATTGTACAAAATGTACCACATGTTTACTGACTTCATGTTGAGTTCAAGAGATGAAACACTGATCAGGTATGAACAATTTATAAATAGAGCTACATGCGTTACCCATAGGCCCCAATGAGAGCCTTCCTTCTAGTTTCAGGGACACGAAAGGGAGAATCGGAATGGTTGTTGCATGCAAAACAGACCCTTCTTCCTTCAAAGACCCAATGTTTTATTAACAAATCCCAGTTAAAACACTAGCTGGTAAGTATCACAGGAAATGGGATACTCTACATTTTTCTAACTAAATTTTCCAGCAGCTTTAGATATCATGGGAATGAGTTAGAAATCCTATCAGTCCATGACCACTTTAGGAATATATGCCCTTACTTCCAGTTCTGGAGACTGCTGGATTCTAGTTCTTTCCATTTCTACTTGAAGTGTTTTATTGCCATTTCTGACCTTATTGGGCTGATCTTCTATCACTGCCTGACTTTGTGACCACTGTGGAAATAAAAGAAATCCACCCACTGGGAATAAATGCAACCATAAATAAAACAACTCTTCCCCACACTAACCAATACTACAAAAATAAGTCTGGACTCTCACTCCTCTTTAGGAATTATTTTAAATGATTTGGATTAGAAAATAGTTTGACTAGTGTGACTTTGAACTCTTTTAAGGGCTTGTTTACACAAGACAAAAAAAATGCATTAATGACATATTTAAGGCGACATTAAACCTTGGGGTTTTTTTTATTTTCATTTTTATGGTGGCCAGACTTGCTACCACCTCAAGTGGTATCCAGACCACAGGCTGGCCTTCCCTGTACGGGTGCCTCCACCAGCTAGCCGACTGCTGTAGAGGTACCCGTACGTGCACGGTCACAGCCTTGCCTGCACCAAGCTGTGTGCTTCCATAGACACACGCACAGCATGCGGCCAGCCACGCCTCCATCCTTGCAGTCATAGCTTGATTGACAGCAGAGGGAACCTATGGCTATTCTGCCCTCAGTACCGTCCCCCGAAGCCAGGAAGTTTGGGGAAACCCGTGACTTTCCGGTCACGGCAGAGGAGATGAGCGGCTGCAGGTAAGTTTGGGGGGTACAGGGCTTTTAGAAAAATGCTGGGTGTTTTTTGCCTTGATGCAGAGAATGCGTTAAAACAAAAAACACCCAGCCTTTAATACTACTTTAACCCAGTTATATTTTACATAAAATTGTGAATGCCACAGGTCACTAGACACAGTGATTACACAACTACCTTGTATAATACCTTACAGAAGAGTAACAGCTGAAAGAAAAAAAAGCCAGTATTCTGTAACAATGTGTCTATCATAAATGGCAGACACAATAAAAGTAACATTCAGCTCAATGTATGTGAATGTAGAACTACCCTAAAAGAAAAATTAACCAGTAGAGACCTGTCCAGCAAATGGAATTCAGAATCTTATTAGAGAGGTCATTGAAACAAGACACACTGGAAAAGAAACAACTCTATGTAAATAACTTGAAGTAATTCACATGGAAAAAAGAATTTGAACTAGGTTATCCTACTAGAGGAATCTTACATACAGCTACAGGACAAATAATTGGTGTTCACCCTTCTGCAAAAGAATAAAAGTAAATATAATGAAACAGAAAACAACATATACAACATTCACATTGGTTGAAAAGAAATAGTAAATTTAACAGAATCGTCTGGTCTTACCTTGGACTAGATTCGTGGGGAAACTGCACACTGTTTGCATAAACATCGATGATTTGCACAATGTTTGTATGTGCTGCACACAGCATATGTAATCGTACCTTCAAAAGGAAGAAAAGAAAAAAACGTAAGAGGTACATGGTGGGGATAATATAGGAAAAGAAACAAGTGCTAAATTGAAGGAGAAGCACAATGAGGGAAATTTCTCAAAACTGGAGCAGAGAAAATCTGGAGCAGCTGTGCATGGCAACCAATCAGCATCTCTCTTCAGTTTGTTCAGTTAAGATTTGAAAATGAAAGAGAGAAGCTGATTGGTTGCCATGCAGAGCTGCTCCAGATTTTCTCTGATCCAGTTTTGATAAATTCCCTTCAATGTGAAAAAGGTTTGCAGGAATGTTTTTGTAGATATTAATGTTCTTAGTCAAAATACCCAAACAGTGACTGTTTAGTGAGGATAGGGGAATCCCCCAGTTGGGTCTCTGTATTCTAACAGAATACCCATACAGTCAAAGAATTTTCGGACCAGCTCATTTGACAAAAAAGTAAATTGGAAATTTGACTGATCGAGTCAGCAGGATTTCGATTTGAGCAGAGTATGACCGCTTCAGGGCTGTGCGATGCCTTGTGAGTGTGTGCCTAGCCTGACAATGTTTATACACAGTACAATTGTATATCAACCTCATCAAAGGCAGAGAGTGTAAGTGGTGCTAATTACAGCTTATCTGTTTGCCATTGTACTGAGAAAAAGAGGTCCTTTGTGTGTAAAAAGTGCTATCAAGTACGATAGAGGAGATAATTGGCACAGGAAGACAATGCCACAATGTAAATTAACCATGTATTTTCAGTTTTCTGTACAAAAGAAGTCACTGGCACAACAGTAAATAATGAGAAGTGGCTCTCACCCTATGGGAGGTACCTATAAACAATATTTGTTGTCCAAAAACAAAAAACAGACTCCCAGAGACAGTCTAAAATTATAACTGTCAAACTCAACTAAGCTGGAAATATGCGTTTGACATTCAAGTTGCTTTCGGCTAACATACACACTGAGGATTGCAGCTTTACACACATGTAAAAGACAATTGCAAATGTGTGGCACTCAATGAGAATGAGTTGTGTACCCAATAATCCTAGCCAGCACAAGGGCTTTCACCCTATGGATCCCCATCATTTTACTCCTTAATACCTGTCCTGACAACTGTACCAGAAGTGATACATGCTGCTTTATCTGCATCAAAAGAAAGAGAATTACATTTTATTTCAGCACCTCAGCTAAGGTACTGTTTGTTACACAAGGGCTTCTAATGTTATTGTATTTTATTTAATGACAATAGGAATGCGGGGCCAACTAGATTAGGTCAAGCATAATGCAGGGCCAGACTAAACCATGCAAATATACACATTATATACATTTTAAAAAAGTAATCCCCCTGACTGATGACACTCCCTAAAGTGTTACCTTAATCTACCCCAAAAGATGGTTTAGTTGTTCTTTTTTGCAGATGAGCAAAAACTCAGTATTGATGCAGTCACAATGTGAACCAATGAACTATTGAGAAACATAAACATAAATGGTGCACCCTGCATGAACGTTACCTTAGACTGCCCAGGGGCCGAAGATAAAAGCCTTAAAGTAAAAGTACAGTACATAGTTTTGGACAGATTACGGAAGAGTTAGGAGGTGTTTACTGCTATCCAAGGCTTCATTACAAAAGGTTACATCCTGGGCTGCTGACAAATGTTTTACCAGACAGGAAGTGAGGTAAATTCCTTAGCAGTAACACAGAAAGGGGTAGGCTAGAACCCCTGTGAAATTTTAATTTGTTTGTGTAAATAAGGAAAAATCTCTTCAACGGAGCACTGACAAAACTAAGAAAAATGGTTTTGGCTTGACATACATTTTAAAGTGTATTTAAGCCAAGAACAAGAATTATATATATTGGAGCTTACCAAGCCTAAGGGTGCCAATTAGGGATGCACCGATATTTTGGTACTGAGTAACGATAATTATTTTTCGGTACTCGCCGATACCAATTACAGAGTACCGGAAATCCCATTCAGGAAGCCAGGTGGCGTGTAATGACTCGACACCTGGCTTCCTGATTAGCCGGGCAGCGTGTAAAGACTCGCCACCCGGCTTCCCGATTAACAAGAAAGCCATCCCAGCCTGTCCCCTCACACCTCGGCATGTCCAGCCTAGAACGGTCTTCCTCCGGTACCCAGCCGGAGCATAAACTGGGCAGCGTGTAATGACGAGCTGCCCGGCTTCCTGATACAGGAAGTACTCGGACTAGGCGGCATTGGAGCATTTGGCCGAGTACGAGTACTCGCCCAAATACTCGGTATCGGTAGTAAAAGTAGTAAACATCACTTCCTGCTATCAGAGACCGGGGAGGAGAGCGGAGGGAGATCATGTACTGATCTCCCTCCATTCTCAGTGCACGGAGCTACATCGCCCGTTCCCGGATGGCGACCATAAGGAGGAGAGGTAAGGAGGGGGCGCACAGAGACATGCAGCATACAAGCGATCGGGCGTCTTTACAGACGCCGGACCGCTTGTATGTAAACGGCCATCGCTGGCTGTTTAAAAGTCTGGCGTTTCCCGCTCGTGCGCGCCAGGGGGCACGAAGGACGTCCAAAGACGCCCACCAGCATCCAGAAGACTCCCGTCCGGCCGTTTCTGAACGTTCGGCGGACGGGAGGTGGTCAATGTAGTTCAATAAGGGTTAGCTACAACTATGACAAGACAGATTTTCTTTCAATAAACTGCTCCAAAAAGGTAGCGTTGTCAGGTGTTTTTGTCAGGTAATTAAAGAATGACTCCAGGTAACGAAAAAAATCTTAGCCCAAAAAAAAAAAAGCACTGAACCCTTGCAGTGTGCAAGGGTTAAGAGCTGGTTTTGTCTAGGGGCCCAAATAAAGTTGTATTACTTAACTGATCCTCGGTCCCCCAGTGCCCAGCATTCACCTCTCTCCCTCTCGCTCCAGCTATGGACTGTCCCTTGACATCCTCACGTCTATTGCAGGTCAATAGATCTGCATAATATGTGATAACGTCAGCGGTCCTTAGACTATCAAATCACAGGGCAGAAAAGGCTGAAGGGACCAGTCTAGCATCCTGGGAGGGAGCCAGCGGGACCGGAAACCAGGTGAGTAAAACAGCTTTGAGCCCCCTAGACAAAACCAGCACTTAACCTTTGCAATGCTGGGGTGGCCCAACTTTTTTGTTTGAGATCAAATGCCTTGAGATCAAATGCCCAGTATATGGAGTGGTTTAGAAGATTTTACTGAAGAAAGCCACAGAACAGAAAGCCAGAGTAACTGCAGAGAAAAATGAATCCCTCTCCATTACAAAAATATACAGGGCCTCATGTATCAATGCATCCTGAATTGAAATAATGTTGTAGAGTCGTATAGGTTTAAACTTCCATGACAGGTCTGATATGGACAATGTTGATACATGGGCAAGAGGAAGAATCTGCAAGAGCCAGAGCATTGCACCCGTTGTCCACTGCGGTTACATTGCTTTACTAGCTCCAATGCAAAAAAATAATAAAATGTACATTTTTTTATTTTATTAATGTGTGTATTTATTAATTTTTTTCACAAAAAGGACCTTTTCAAATACTTATGTAAGTTGCCTATTAACAGTCCTTCCAGTTTTAGAAACAGAAGCAAAATGTCCTAATTATATTAAGGTCTACTTCATTCACACAGTACCACAGCATGCACAACTTTGTGTGTCACCCTTAATACACTACTGTAATGGACCTGTGCTGCAGTGCATTGCAAGGTGATGCACTACCATGTGTTGTAGTGTGCTGTGACTGGGTCAAGTCCAGTCTTAAGTGTGCTGAGATGTGTCGGCAGCCTGCGTCTTAATGTGTTTGCAGTAACACAATGCAAGACATACAAAGTCACCATCACTACAGAAATGTAATTAAGTTTTATATACCGACATTTCGGGGGCTTGCAGGGTGCCTCTCAAGGCAACAAAGTGAAAAAAAAAAAAAAAAAAATACCTTTTATGAAGGTCTAGTACCATCAGGAGTGCAGCGTCATACATGGACGGTAACAGACTGAAGCATATCACAAAAGCATGAAGTGAGCTTTGCCTTTAGAAACTATAAAAATATATATTTTAGTTTAAACTGGAATCCTTCAACAGCTCAGACAAAGTAATGTGCAGACCTGGGTGGAAATGCACTTTTGTAAAATAAAAAAAAAATATTATAAAAAACCATAATAAGAAGTATTTATGCGCGGGCACAGATTAACAGAGCTCACCTCATTTCTGGCTTTTGGCCGATCTATAAGAATCTTCAGTGCGAACCGCTCTTGAGTTGATTTTTTCACACAAACCCTAAAACAATGAAATAAGCTTTATTAAATCTAAAATAATATAGTTCTATAGGACTTCTACTAAGAATTACATGCAGAGTTAGTAAGAAGGTGTTTCTTCTGCTCCCAACTTGGAGAAAATGTTTCTAGTTGGGCGGTATATTTTGTTACTTTGATGGTGACAATCTTCATCCCTCTCCACACATTCCCTTCATTTCTAATTGTTCTCGCTTCCTCTGGTTTCTTTCCTTCAAATCCCCTTCGCGCAGGCTTTCTGATCGGGCTCACCTGTCAGTTTTTCTGGCGGACCTGATCAGATGCCCAATGTTAGTCTATGGGAGTGGTATCTAAAACGGATGCGCGCCTGCTTACATCCGGCTACGCCCGGCCAGGTCCGGTATAACAAATAGATCAAAGTTCCATTTTGCTGGGCCTGATCATGCCGGATCAGGGGTAATCTGATGTAAACAGACAAGCCCATTTACATTCGATTCCCCATAGACCAACACGGTAATTTCAATATGGAGGTAAAAACTAGACGGACACAGATGTCACAACGTTGACATCCCTACCAATCATCAGGGGAACCGTGGTCAGATCCCCTCCTTATCGGACCGCGTGAAAGGGGCCTTACTAATTGTCTTTTTCTTTCTTCTCACATTAGGGGTGACTGTAGGCCCTATTCCATCTCGTCTATGGATGTCTGCATTACCATTAGCTATTGTATATGTTTTTGTTAAAACCAATGATTATTTATTACATGTATTTATATAGCGCCAACAATTTACACAAAGCTTTACATAGTTGCACATTCACATCAGTCCCTGCCCTTTAAAGGACCTTGCAATCTAAGATCCCTATCTCACATGCATACATTACGAGGGCCAATTTAGATAGGAGCCAAATTAACCTTTCAGCATGTGTTTGGAGTGTAGGAGGAAACCAGAAGACCCGGAGGAAGCCCACGGAGAACATGCAAACTCCTTGCAGATAGTGACCTGACCGGGATTAGAACCGGAGAGCCTTCGTGCTGCAAGGCAGAGGTGCTAACCACTAAACCACTGTGCCGCCCATACAAGAAATATAAATGTAGTGAATAAAAAGCAAAAGCAAGAAAACCTACCTGTTTTTGGGTCACGTGACTTGGTTGCAAGAGGGAGCCCAATAAGACAACTACAGATACAGTTTAAGTTTGATTCATCTTTAACAAAACAATTATTACGTATGCATTACTTAAGGCGTAACAAAACCTACAAAAACAAAAATGTAATATATTGCAGCCTACTAGACCTTAGTTTTTGTGGCTGCATTAGTTTCTGTTTTCAGGCTTTTTTCCTTCATGTTCACCTGGTGATCCTATGAATAGGACACTTGTGTCCCTTGGTGGCTACTCTCACTCCGTTAGATCTATGAAGGTAGCCATGGTTGACCCTACCCTGCACCCAGTTTTATACTACAAACACGTCGTCATCTCCTTATCTCCATTACATGGGAAGAATATGTGCCCAGAAGATGCGCTTTTAGTTTATTCCAAACAAAACTCACAAGATCAACAAATTTTTTCTGTACTTGTTCAAAATGTTCTTAAAAAATGAGAACTAATGCAGCTACCACACCCAAGGACTGCTAAGCTGCAACATATCTCATTTTTGTTCTTTGGTTTAAATATCCTTTAACGTTTACAATGAAAGCACTGTCATATCTGTTGATTCTACCAGAAATTCAGTGACCTTCTCATTTTCTGCATACACTATTGAACTGAAATCTCAAGCAGTGTTAGCAGTCCTAGAAATAACTCAAAATTCCACGCTATGGTGTGAAATAAACCAAATCAATAAAACACAATTAATGAAGTTGCAGTGCCAACAATAATTATTATATACAGTATATTGTGAGAAGAGCCGATTCACCTTCCTGGAAAAAGTTGTGATGACGAAACCTATAGGAAGGGGTGAGCACATGCTGATGCCGGGACACCAGTATGAAGTGACTGCTATTGTGCTGTTATCGAACAAAGGAGGTCGGATCTGTATTCAGAATTCCTGCTTCGGAGATTCTTGGAAGTGGTTTTAATTGCTCATAATAAAGCGGGTTTTAAAGTGTACTACACTATATGCTTCTTCATATTTCCTGTCGAGTATCATGGCGCAGAGAAGTAGTAGATGTGGGTTCACACCTAGACGCACCTCACCGCATGTCAATCGTGCACGATCCTGCGCGGATTGCTGCGTGTCCAGGAGCCGCCAAGGTGTGAAGCGATGTGCACTGCGGGTGCCATTATTTTCTAATGGCACCTTAGTCGTGGCGGGCAGATCACGCGGTTTCCCGCCGCGATTCCACCCGTGCTTTCGAACAAGCTAAAACAGCCGCGCATCGTGTATCGCAAAACAACAAAAAAAAAGGTACTACTATTATTATACAGGATTTATATTGCGCCAACAGTTTGCACAGCGCTTTACAATATAAGGAAGACATTACAATACAATTCAAGATAAGATGGTAAGGAGGACTTGTACCTTTTTTCTGCGATTGCCGCGCGGATGTCAGCCCATTGAAATCAATGGGGCTGCAGAGCAATCGCTGCCTGCACATTGTGCAGGACCGAACGACACCCAGGACGCGCGTCCCGGGTGACGTGTGGTGTAGTGCAGGTGTGAACCTAGCCTGAGCCTTCTGAGGCATCTGGATCCGATCAAGCAACAGGAGAAGGATTGGATTTTTAGAGGCGTTTTGTGACTATAGTGTGTGTGTGTGTTACTGGGGAGAAACACGAGCACATTTTCCACTGGATTGATTTGTAGTGACATTCGTTTGTGGATAATATACAATTCCGGACTGATATGTAGCGACACGTATTCACGTTGCATGTTTTTTGAGCCATCAATGCACTGTTGGTGAATTATTATTATATTGATAATATATTGACTACACATTTACTTCACTTACAGAATTCTATTCCTTACCTATGTATTGTTATTGATGTGTTTTTGCTAGCGCAGTGTTATCAGTCCTGCTTAATTCACCTCTGTAAACCACAGGACGCCTCCCCTATGTTATGGAGATGCGGAGAGGGGGAGGTGTTCTGTAGTCCAAAGCAGGAGTCATAGGCCTAGGGTAACATTGCTCTTCCATAGATACAGTACAATGAGTGAGTGTTGCAAACTAGGACAGAAAGGGGACATTTGGAGCAGCTGTCCATTGTAAACAATCAGCTTCTCTCTTTCATTTTTTAAACAAACTGAAGAGAGACATTGATAGGTTACGATGAGCAACTGCTCCAGATTCTGTCTGCTCCGTTCTGATAAATTCCCCCCCATAGTGCGTTACTGGCAGGATCACAAGGTGAAACGAAAGAGAAAGGAAGCCTGAAAAAAAGAAAACAAATGCAGCTGATATATCTAGGGACTGGTATATTACATTTTGTTCTTTGATTTAGAGACAATAGTTATGAATTATATTCAACAGAGGTCCCAAAGGTCATTCATATTGCTGTGCTGTATGTAGGAATGGGGACAGAATCACAGCAAGCTATAGAAAAAAGGGTGTAGCATTTAATTATGGGTGCACAGCGATGAAACAACTGCAGAGAAGGAATGGCCACTATGCATCAAAAGGTTATTGTCGGCTGGGCTGAAATGGGACGTATCAGGCGACAGGACAGGCCCTGAAAAGGAAGCAATTCTGTGCCCTGGTATAAATAGATGAAGGCTACATTACTGTGTCAATGTGTGTAACTGAAGACTAGAACCAAAGTAGATGCCAGTCTCAGAAATGTTCAAATACAATAACATTCATGTCTACGGTCATATTCATATTTTAAAGATTTTGCAAACAAAATATATAGCATAAGAAACAGATCAGCCATTCAGGACAATAACTCTGGCATCTAAGTGACAGGACACACAAAGCTACAATGCAAGCTGCTGAGGTAGTTACTATTTAACAAGCCCTGCACTGTAAAAGAACTTGTTTTTTTTTTCTTGTGCACAAAATCTAGATAAAAAGGCATTTATCTTAAATGTAATTACTGATAAGGACCAGTTGCGGAAAGAAAAATAGTTCTTCTCACGACATCCACTAGAGTGCAAATAAAAAAATAAAATAAAAAAAAAAAAAATCTGCCAGTTTGCATGATCTGTTTTTTTCAGCATAATCTCATCAAAATGCAACTAATTATAACCCAGGTTTTCGGTTTCTGCTCACAAATGATGCATTTTAGAGTCATGAAGTGCAAAAAAAAAAAGGGAGGTCTCAGTGGCTGCTATGGGGTACAACACAATATATATCACTTTATCATAGTCCCCTAAAGTGTATTTTCACTTCTTCGGTCAAATTTGAGAAAACGCCACCTCATATACCTTTGTTAGGCATTTCCATTAACACAGCTTACCCTCCCAAAAAGTGCAACAACATACATTGCCTTGAGTACTTTAAAGTGACATTAAAGGATAAGTTTTTTTCCCCTCCCCCCAATGTTAATGTCAGCACTTACCTTAAATGATGTCTCTTAATCCGATTTTCCTCTTCTTTCCTAGTGTTTTCATCTGTCCCTCCAGCGCTTCTGCAGGTCTCCGATCCAGCGCTGACTCCTCTGTCCTTGCTGGCACTTCCGATCCCACGGTGTCTGCATGCGGGTGCACGCGTCCAAAGACTTAACTTGCGTCTCTGCTCGTCTCCCGGCCGAGAATCCAAACTGCGCATGCGCCCGCCCCTAGATGCTTTGCGGCCGCCCGAACAGTTTAGTTTTCTCGGGTGAGTGCGCGCAGCGAAAATAAGGTAAGTTTAAACCGCTGTTAAAGCGGGTTTTTTTTTTTTTAAACTGTTTGCCTATATTTACTGCTGGATAGCAGTAGATATAGGCAAAAAAAACCTTTAGGCCCCATTCACACCTGACCGTTTTGTAGCGCGTCCTACGCTCGATGAACGCTCTACAAAATGGTCAAAAAAATAAATAGCACTGTAGTCAATGGCCTCGTTCCCACCTGTCCGTATTTCCGCCCGTCCCGAACGCACTACAAAACGGCCCACGCATGAAAAGGTCCCGGAGCGTTTTTTGCTGCGTATTGGTCCGTTTTGTAGGGCGTTTTCCATTAGTATACTGCCAAGTAGCCTTTGGAATCGCGCGACGGTCGCGCGGTAAAAAAACCGTGCGACGGTCGCGCGGTAAAAAAACCGCGTGACGGTCGCGTGACAGACGCGCATATTACAATACGCATAGGTGTGAATGGGGCCTTAGACTTGCAGGACAGCCAGTCCAGCAGAACTAGTTTACAAGAGCTAATGGAGATCTGCCGGCTTAGTACAGACAGTGTTAATAATGGCAAAAGAAAAAATAAAATTGTCCAGCCCCTCAAAGAGGGAGAACTAAGCAGGATTTTTCAGTCCTAGAGTTTTCAGCAAAGAGCATAAAAAAGGTAAGCTGCAATTCTCAAATATATAATATATGAAGTTAAAGTATGCTATGTAAATGGTAACAAACTTTAAAGTGAATTTCCATTTTTGCAGCCAAAATGGGATAACAGCTACTTTATACATGTTCCCATTCACACAGCATAGATAAAAAATTTAAAATTGCAGCTTACTACCTTTTTAAAAAAATGCTCTTTCTGCAAACTTCAGGACACAAAAATCCTGCTTCTCTGTTCCTTAAAGTGACACTAAACTCAGGAGTTAAACCTTAAAAATACCTTCAACTACCTTAACAGTTAACATAAATATATCTTAATTGTATATCATTCCGCTGTAGATCCTCAAACCATCTCTGAATTGGTGCCGACACTGTCCTTCCTTCTGGAGGGTGGCTGCTTTTGTTCCCCATGGTCCCTGTGTGTGTTGTACAGTAGAATCTCCATGAATAAGCGGTTTGGTGAAAAATGTTAGAGTTGGAGGAGTCTGTGTTTACTTACAGCATGTATGGACTTCGGGAATAAACAGTATCCAGCTTGGGATACCAGTCATTTGTGTGGAAATTGTTTTTTGTGAGAACAAGTATCAAGCTGCAGCGTGGTTTTTTTTGCCTGCACCAACAACAGGGATGGGACTGTGTGAGGATAAGGAATACTAGCGGTGGTTGCTTTGTTTTGGGAAAATTTTATTTTTTATTTTTTAATTTTCCACTCTTCCTTCTTCCCAATGAAAGTTTATCAAAGAAAAATACATAAAATCAAAGTTTCTAATAAATTGTTACAAGACAGAATAAACATGAGAAACCCACAGCAATAACTAACAGAAGAATATAAACAGAATGCTATACCTTACTGGACCACTGATTCCAGCCCCAAGCTTCTGCGTCCAGTTGATGTTGTACTCTTCCAGGATAGACGTATCCTATATGCAAAAAACACAGGTAAAGACAATGTAAAATTGATTTCCGTCAATAAAAAAGAAATAAAACACATTTTGTAACATACCATAGGTTTAATATGCTACACATACTCATAATACAGCTCTTTTACAATTTTCTGTCACTGCTCATAATCTTCCAAATTCCTAAACCTCAGCCCCTTCATGTGTGGCCAATACCTTTGCTGTCCCGTGGATGTGATTGGGCAGCTGTAAAGCCGCCCAATCAGCTTAAGGCCAGGTTCCCACCATTTTCCGAACCAGATCTGGTCCGGAAAATGGTGTGAACCTGCCGCAGTTCCAGTGCATTCCAGACCAGACAAATTGAGACATGCAGTATTTTTCTGGTCTGGAATGGACTGCGCTGGTGTGAATAGAGGATAGAAATAGCATAGGGACACATTAGGATGCATTTGGGGTACTGAAACAATCTGGTCTGGAGATTATCTGGATGTGGTGTGAATGGGCCCTTACACATGTAAGCAAACTCCCAGCTGCTATAGCAAATAGAAGTCTTACAGGACCTCACTGCTGCCACCATAATACGGTAGTGGTGAAAGGATTAAACCACTAAATATCTATGTCCCAACAACGATCAAGATTGCATCTGAGGAGGTCTGACGGAGGTTTGCCCTTTCCCCTCTTACACCCACCCCTTTCTCTTTATAACCTAATACTCCACCCCCCTTCCTTTTTTTTTCTTGCTTCTTTTTTTACTTTCTCTCCCCCCCCCCCCCCTCCCCCCCCCCCCCCCTCCTCTTTCCACTCCAATCCTTCTCCACACCCTGCCCTTTCCCATTCTTCCATTCTGTTTTTGCTGTCTGTGTTTCCTCTCTATGTATGCTGGTGACCATTGTCACTGGGATGGAAAATAATAAATCCTAATTTTTGAGCAGTAGCCAGCACAGGAATAACAGGGAGAGCATCCTGTGAGGACCGTTTAGAATCATGGAGCAGCTCTACCCTCTTGTCCCGAATCCCGCTGCTTGAACCTCGGTGCCTGGTAAAGCTTCCACCAAAACCTTAATTGAACAATAGGGTAAAAAAAACGGCACTCGCAAGGGGATCCGTCCATCCAGTACTTTATTTGCAAAAAGGTATAACAGCAACAAACAAATGCTAACATCTTTCAGCCTGCAAACTGGGCCTTAAGCCACGACTAAGGCCCAGTTTGGGGGCTGAAACATGCAAGCGTTTGTTGCTGTTATGCCTTTTTGCAAATAAAGTACTGGATGGACGGATCCCCTTGCGAGTGCCGTTTTTTTTAACCTATTGTCCCTGTGAGGGCACCTGTTGCTGTGATAACTGCTTAAGAGAGGAGTTTACCCCACTGGGGATAGATGTCCTCTCACTTACTCATGTCCCTTTAGGAAAGGAAGTTAATGGAAATCTCCCCAATGGCACACGGTTGCCAAGATTCTAGTGCATGAGAAAGTAATAGGGAAAGAGCAAAGATTTTTAATGACTGTTCTCCACAATGCTTACAGATAGTAGACACAGACGTGTTTTTATTTCTTGTTCAGAATATGTAAATACGTTAGTGTGCATACTCTGGGCACAGGTTCACTTTAAGTAGAATGGCTGGTGATTATCTCATGACATTGGTGTCACAATGTCACATGAATAGACTAGAACATTAATAGAGGACATCATTTTATAGCCAAACCAGCACCAATTATGGCCACTTTAACTATGTGTCTGAGGAGCTTCAAAACTATTTGAAAACAGATTTAAAATATAATTTATGAACACCTATGTATACACTCACACCCCTAAAGCATAACAACTGTGCAGTAATACTATGCAGAATACAGTACACAACATACAGTACACCTGCATAGCCTAAAAACATTAACACACTAATAAGAAGATTTCCAATCAAAATTTCATTTTCAGATCTATCTAAATTTATGAGCCAAGGACTGTGAGGAAAAACAGATATTGGTCATGATTCTATGTGGCTGGCCTGGGGTTATTAGAACTCAATGTCAACCATATTATTTATTCTACCTGGTTCGATAGCACAAGATTGCACATCCATGCTGAGATTTTTTTTGTTCTCTGTAGCACTTGAGCAACTGTGATACCAACAGTAGAAGTTGACTACTGCCAGGTGCCTTCCAGTGCACTGCCATGCCTAAGGGACCCGAACCCCAACCCTAAATCCTATCCTGACAAAGCCTTAGAAGTGACATTAAGGGCAAACGTTATGATGTCTCTTAATCCGATCTTTCCAGTAGTTTTTAGCGGTCCCTCCAGCGCTGGTGCGGGTCTCAGACCCAGCGCTGACTCCTCTCTTTTCTGATGTCCCACGTAGTCTCTTCTGGTGCACGCTGCTCCATAGAATTACCTTGCGTCTCTCCTCGTCTCCTGGCCGAACACCTGAACCGCGCATGCGCCTGCCCCAAGATCCTTTGCGGCCACCCGAGAAATTTTCCGTTGTTCAAACGGGAGCGCACGGCAGAGACACAGGTAAGTATTAACCCTTTGAAAACGTTTGTTTTTTTGTACATCGTTTTGCATATATCTACTGCTTGCCAGCAGTAGATATATGCAAAAACATGCGAGGGTTTGATAACCCTTTAACCCTCTTCCCCTCCGCCCATAAAACCATCTGTTTGTGGAGCTTGGGGCTCCACAAAATCAAACTATATATGAGAATGAATCCTAATTGTACTAACCCTATTCTCTTGTCCAGATGAAGATGGACTGGTTGCCCATAAGATTCATTCTGTGCTTATATACAACTGCAGTCCTGGATTTTATACCATAATGTATGTTCAGCAAAATACACTCTATTGATGTATTCCTTCCTAGGATATCTGCCAAGCCACCTTGTCTTGTTTGCTCATTACTAAAACTTCATAAAACTTGATTAGGAAATAAAATGCGTAAGTCCACTAATGGATGGCCAAACACAAGATGAATGTTACTAAAGCTGCCCATACAAAGATCCAAATTCAGCTGTTTTCTGCTCAACTGGCCAAAATTGGAGACACAGGTGTTGGTACCACCCGGCCTGAACAACTTCAACTGAAAATCCAAGGAGCTGGGTGGAAATGTGTCTACTGAACAGTGACTGCATCCAATCAGATGTAATCACCGTTTCAGCCATCCATTAGCTTTCTCTCATTCATCCAGGTTGAACAAGAGAAATCTGTAAATGCATGGCTAGCCTTCACGTGGAATAATACACAATATGACACCATTTGATCTATACCAATGTTTCTCAACTCTGTTTCAGTAACGGCAACCTTTAAACCTTTAAAAGTATGCAAAATCTCGAGGCATCTGCCTAAAATTAAAAAAAAATCACTACATCCGAGTCATGCCATAATACCCAAGTCATGCCATCACACACCCGAGTCATGCTATCACATCCGAAGCAGCAACTGCTGGACAGAGTCAAACTTCTGTCCTTTTCTGAATAGATCCCGCCCTCCCTGGATTACCCCAATTCATTTAGCGGACGGCTCACCAGAATGTTACAATTTCGAGGCACCCCTGAGGAATCCAGCAACCACACCAGGGTGCCACGAAAGGCTGGGCTATCACAAAATTGTTACTTTCTGAAACTAAAATTCCAGACAGGGAAAAAAAAAGAGCATTTTTCTGTTTTTCAGATGACAGGTGGACAATTTTCATCCAACAGACACATTAGCGCTGTGCACACTTTGGCTGAATACATTTATGTAATTACACAGCATCTTGTATTCCGAACAAGAAACATAGCAGGATTTAGAGCACCCTGTCAGAAGACAGATAAATAGCCATCTGGGATATAAATCATAACAGACTGACAACACTTCATGACATTCAATAAATGATGCAAACTGTGCTACTGTTTGTATTCATACTTTTAAAGTCTGTTAATACTAAAATGCAAAACAAGAGAAATACTTTTGTGCACAGTTGTAATTCAGTTTAATTCAATTCCGGGGAATTTTCATTCAGTACAGCCAGTCTTGTGATGTCCACACATGTACTATGTTGCACATCATTACCTCTGTCTGGAAGCCTAGGGAGTGGCACGTGCACTCAGGAAACAGTGATGCTAAATAATCAAGTAGTAGAGAGATCTTCACGACAAGCAGACATGTGTTATAACTCGGGTAGAACATTAACCCCTTAATCACTAAGGTCAGACAAACTAACACCTGAACCCAGTTCTGCAACTCTTGCATGTGTTAATAAAGGTGTACATATCTAAGCAACTACTCCAAGTAGAACTCCGGCACAAATGTTATTAACCCTTGCAGGGGTGCTACCTAGGGCTGCAACAACTAATCAATAACAATCGATAATGAGAATCTAGGGCTGAAACAACTAATTGATAAAATTGATTATAATCAATGAGAATTGTTGTCAACGATTCTCATTATCGATTAGTTGAATCCCTCACCAACACTCTCTTCTCCTCCCTGCTGGTGCTGGCTGCAGCGGTCTGTGTCCCTTTCAATCCTGTATCAGCAGCAGGGACATAGACCACTGCAGCCGGCCTCTGGGAGTCATGCCTGTGGCTGCCAGAGTCTTGCAATGCCTTGTGGGATTTGTAGTTCCACCACAGCTGGAGGGCTGAGGTTGCCGATCCCTGTATTAAGAAATCGAACAATCATTACGAAAACAATGTTTTTTTCTAGTGAAATTCTATTTGTCGCTGCAGCAGCTGTGGTGGAAAGTCATAATAGAAAGTCTGCGGGCCGGAACCTCAAAATGTGTAAGACAGACAAGACAGGACTAGATACACACAACTTGTGTACATCAGTACAAGAACGGGTACATACTAGAGGTGCACCGAAATTAAATTTTTAAAACTGAAACAAAACATAAAAACATTTCTAACATTTTCACATTTTGTTAAAAATTTATATTTATTTTTTTATAAAAACTTACATTTTTGTAATATATTTTTTTTACTTTATTGTCAGGGGTTTCAGGGAAATATTAGGGGTCTAAACACGCACCTGACATTTCCCTTTTAAAACAGAAAAAGAGATTGAGTACACAGAGTCCTCAATCTCTTTTTCTGCAGCCCTGGTTATAAATGAACAGGAAGCCTCTATACTGAGTGTTCCTGTTCATTCAGAACTTGTGGAGAGAGTATGTTTACTATGAACAGGAAGTGATGTAGATCCCTTTCCATTCATTCAGTATTGAGGGCAGAGTAAATATACGCTGTCCTCAATTATTTGCACACACTAAGCGATTATTGATCACCAACTGCTTGTACCCACTCTCCATCCTGGTTTGGCTGTCACAGGAGGCTAAGCGAGCGGTGCGGGGAGGAGAGCTTGGTCTCCTGTGACAGCCGACTCCTCCCATGCATCACCACCCCGGCCTCCTGTGACAGCTGTCTCCGCCCCCCACCACTCTCCTGATCTGTCACAGGAGGCTGAGCAGGGAGGTGCGGGAGGAAAGCCCAGGCTCTTGTGACACACCAGGCGGTCACACAGCTCTCCTCCACACCGCTCGGCCTCCTGTGACAAGTTTCTCTCCTCCCTGTTGGACGCTGTGTTGTGTCAGAGGGGACACAGAGCAGCGCCCAGTGGGGAGGAGAGAAACCAGGCATACACCGCAATTTTGGCTGTAATATGCCACTTTCGGCATTTTGCCACATGTGCCATTTTCGTCCGATATGTTTCAGCGGCCATAATTTCGGGCCATCCCTTGTGCATACAATGGATCTCTATGACTTAAACCTGTAGCCACACAATGCAGCCCCCCACCCCCCGATGAACCCTTTTCCAGAGAAGACTTTTGTACTTTTTTGGTCCTATCCCGGGTTACAACATTGTGACAATGTGTAAATAATCTTCTATGAGATGACTGATCCTCTACGCATGGCGGGGCAACAAATATGTAGGGAAAAGTTGCTTCCTCGCCTATAGGAAGAGACCTATTGTACTGCAGGGTAAATCCAGCCCTGATCAGGTCACACACACACTGTTCTACAACAAGGGTCATCTCATCCAAGCTCTCCTCTTCCTTCATTCATCAGCAGGGAGAGGAATTAATAACTGAGATCATCTCACAGCTACAGATCTGGATTATTCACTGTGAAACCCACACTACACGGGCTAAAGGCAATCCTGGGCAGAAGCATGGCAGTGTGCCCATCCACACCAGCTGTATAGTCAGGTGTATGTCCTATATGGAGCACCATGGACAGGACTACTGAGGACAATCAGCCAACCAGCACAAGGTGGTCAGTGATTGGGGAAATCTCAGATTAGTACAATACTGACTCATCTGCAGCAGAATCTTAGATCAACTTCCCCACACACATCTGATGTGCACTGTGCACTGTATACACACACACACACACACACACACGGTCAGACCCAGCCTGGTGGAGTATGACTTCACCATGTCACCAGTACAGCACAGAGCACACTGCCCTCTAATACAAAGATACCTGTCTAGATTTACAGGGAGTGATCATCATCACCAACCACACTGCCCTCTAATACACAGATACCTTTCTGAATATACAGAGAGTCACCATCACAGAGCACACTGTCCTCTAATACACAGATACCTGTCTATATATACAGAGATAGTCACCATCAAAGAGCACAAAGTCCTCTAATACACAGATACCTGTCTCTATATACAGAGTCACCATCACAGAGCACACTGTCCTCTGATATACACATACCTGTCTCTATATACAGAGAGTCACCATCACAGAGCACAAAGTCCTCTATACACATATACCTGTCTCTATGTACAGAGAGTCACCATCACAGAGCGCACTGTCATCTAATACACATATCCCTGTCTCTATATACAGAGAGTCACCATCACAGAGCACACTGTCCTCTAATACACAGATACCTGTCTCTATGTACAGAGAGTCACCATCACAGAGCACACTGTCCTCGTCTGATGCACATATCCCCATCTCTATATACAGAGAGTCACCATCACAGAGCACACTGTCCTCTAATACACAGATACCTGTCTCTATATACAGAGAGTCACCATCACAGAGCATATTGCCCTCTAATACACAGATACCTGTCTCTATATACAGAGAGCCACCATCACAGAGCATACTGTCCTCTAATACACACATACCTGTCTCTATATACAGAGAGTCACCATCACAGAGCATACTGTCCTCTGATACACACATACCTGTCTCTATTTACAGAGAGCCACCATCACAGAGCATACTGTCCTCTATATACAGAGAGCCACCATCACAGAGCACACTGTCCTCTGATACACACATACCTGTCTCTATATACAGAGAGCCACCATCACAGAGCACACTGTCCTCTGATACACACATACCTGTCTCTATATACAGAGAGCCACCATCACAGAGCACACTGTCCTCTAATACACATATACCTGTCTCTATATACAGCCCCCCGTGTTACACACGCACTCCACACTGTACAATGTTCCCGGGGGAAGAACACACAGCCGTGCACAGCCCGAGCTCCTCATACCTTTATTGTTTTGTCCATGTCGGTCCTCTGCGACATGACGGGAAACAATGGCGGGGAGACTGTCACAACCTGGGCCAACACATGAAGCCACCGCTTGGGTCCCCCATACAATGAGACTGAGTGGGAGGGAGAAGAGGCGGAGGACCGGAGGAGACACCGGAGCTGAAGAGAGACCTCCTCTAACTACAACCCATTACCTCCCGGCATGACCACAACAATGCCGGTTTTCTTTAACGCCCACATTGCGGGAGCCCCTCCCAGACTGGGGAGTGTCGTGGCTTCCGGACTCTTATAATAGAATGTGTACAGAATTGGAAGCGAGTCCCTAGGTGTTTTGTAGCCAATTGTGTGGAAATCGAGACAGGCATTTCGTTGGGCACTTCACCGACGCGCCACACATAATGAAGGGCCCCCTATGAGCCCCATAGTGTGAGCCGCTACTGGGTGCCCTTCCGAGCTGAGGGCGCGCTCTGATTGGGTCATAGAGTGCTCTGCTTAGTGAAGGCTTTCCTACAATGGAGGGTGAATGTAACGTTCGGCCAGGAAGAGCTGTCACTCAAGTGTCTGCGGCCTTTTTTTTTTTACTGTCTCAGATATTAGCTATTTCACTTTGTAGTGTTTTCTATTGTTTCCGTTGTCGTTTCGAAGTTAGAATAGAGGGCATGCTGCTTTCCTCCTGAAAATGAAACACTGACAAACTTATCTTATTCTAGTGGAAAAGAATGGCTTGAATAAGTCCCTATGTGCTAGCTCGGTTAATTGTTTTAAAAAACATCTGGATGTATTCCTAAATGCACAGAATATTACTGGATATTGAGTTCTTGGAGGTATATTAAAGTGACATTAAACCCTCAGATTTTTCAACATAAAACAATACTGTAATGTGCGCCTTACTGTAATCCATGGTAGTTTCCCTTCTCTTTGCTGCTCTTCCTTTTAAATCTGTATCTGTTCTCATGTTGGGCAGAACTTCTGTTTTGCAGCAGACTGCCTTGTCTCTGAAATGGACACCATGTCTGTGTGCAGGTTCACAACCTGAGCCAGCACTACAGGAGGAGGCACTCAGCTGCAAAGGGAAGTTCTGCCCCAGCATGAGAAGACATGAGGATTTAAAAGGAAGAGCAGCAAAGAGAAGGGAAACTACCATGGATTACAGTAAGGCACACATTACAGTATTGGTTTATGTTAAAA